GAACACTGAAGGGGGAGAGAAGACTCGGAGATGAGATAGCCTTCTGCCTCTCAATCTATCCCCCATCATCCTCCTTCCTCCTCCCGGCTCGGACGGCGACACTTGGTGCCGCTTCTTTCTCGGATGATGTAACTGTTGTGTGACCGGCAGAGCTCGGATCATCATTACAGACGTTTTTTTTGTGTGTGTGTGTGTGGGTGTGTGTGTGTGGTTGTCGGTACGAAGGCAGCCCGCATCCTCACTTTTCCGCTGGATTCAGGATCAGCGGGACTTTGCGCGGAGTTCATCCGGAGGAGGCTCCTCACCTCGCTGGTAGGTGCCCCGGCTAACCCCTCACCTCTGGAGGTGTTTCAGTACCCTTTAAAGTTATTTGTTTTGTTTATTTATTTTGAAAATAGTAAACTGCAAACGTTTCCGTATGTTTTAATATGCAAACTACACCAACCAAATTGACAGATGAAAAATTTGTTTGTTTTTTAGACAATTAAATCGGTGGGGAATCGGTGCTTTGCAAAAGTATTCACACCGATATAATTTTTTTCCACATTACAACCATAAGACGATATGGACTTCAAGTTTATCACGATAAAAGTAATGATGAAAACTACAGGTTTTTAAACTGGTTATGACTGTGCACTGAAAAAAAAAAACAGGTGATCAACTTAAAAATGTTTGTTAATTGGTTACAAGTAATCAAATAATGTTTTTCCAAGTAAATATATTAAGTTGTCACAATAAACAAGTAAGTTTGACAAACTTAATTCTATTACATGTAACAAAATAATTTTTGTTAATTTGTTGGACCTCCCTTTTCTTTTTTCAGTGTCCTGTTAAACTTTTTCTGTTTATTTTTTTAAATAATTAAAGTGGTAAACAGGACTAATTTGCGCTTTTAAGATCACCAGCTAATAAACTACACTAACCAAAGTGATATAGTTTTTTGTTCTTATTTTTCTTTTTAGAAGAAGAGAAAATAGGTCAGTGCATTGCTAAAGTATTGACACTTCTAAAGTTTTTTTTTTTTTTTTAACCTATTTTCTCACATTACAACCATAGGCTACACTTCAGAGGGGCGATATGGACTTCAGCTTTTATCACCGTAGTTTGTGTTAAGCTTTATTTATTACTTCATTTTTAGGTAACCGCCTGGCTGTGACTGTACACTGAAAAAATAAAACAGGTGATCCAACTTAAAAAATGTGTTAATTTGTACAATTACGTTTATTCAAGTAAATATATTAAGTTGTCATGCTACACAAGCTTAAACAAAGTAAGTTTGACAAACTTAACTTGATTACATGAAACAAATTAAATCTTTTTTTTTTTTTTAAAGTTGGACCTCCATTGCTTTTTTTCAGTGTACAAAGCAATCATAGCCACACAAACACAAATAATGCTCTTGTAACGCTGTTTTAAGACACCAGTCACATAAAGAAGTGTGGTTCTTATCACTAAGTTTAACACAGTAACTTTTTAGCATTTAATTATATTTTCAAATTCATTGATTTGATCATTGATTCTCTCAATGAATTCTGTTGTCTATACTATAGCTACACTAGTAGCTCTGGCTGTAGGGTTGTTGTCCTGTTATATGAGCCTCTTTTGCTGCCTCTAGCAGGTTTCTCTCTGGACTGTAACATCTTTAGTGCTTCCCTGTCCCTACTGAAAAATAAATATTCCCACAGCATAATGGTGCCACCATTATGTTTTATGACAGTGATTTCTGCCACACATGCCATGTAGACCAGTTCTTTCACTTCTGCTGTGCTCCTTGTTATTACTGATGCTGTTTATTCTCTAACAAACCTCAGATAGTTTCACAGAGCTCCTGAACTTACACTGAGATTAAATCACACACAAGTAGGTTACTAATTGTTTTATTCCACCTGTGAAATATAATTAATTCATTCTTAACCATTATTTTTTTACTATATTGTTTGCTAGATTTCTTTTGTACTTTGTAAATATTTATTTTTACTTCTATTGAATTCTCTTAGTACTATTTCATGGCCTTGCTGGCTTTGACAAACAAATCTGAATCTGAGTCTCTTCTGAAAACTCTGGGTCTTATTTAGGCTTATGAGAGTAATAAAGGTTTGTTGCACATGCACAACAACCCTTTTGTATTTTTATTTGCAACATATTTTAAAAATGATGTGCTCATTTGAGTCCACTCTGCAATTATCCATTTCCTGATATTGTCTGTCATAAAAGAGCTTTGTAAAAGTACTTTGATGGCGCTGAGAGGCTCAGTGCGCCGTGTGCAGAGGCTGGAGGCCTCAGCTCGGTTGTCCTGGGTTTGATTTTCACTTCTATTCCTGCATGTCTTCCTTTCTCTCTCTTGCCTGCTTACTGTCCAATAAAGGTCACAGGATTTTAAAAAGAAAATAAAATGTATTTACAGTTGAGGCTGTAGCTGGACAAAACATGAAAAAGGTAAATGTTTATTAGTTTGAATCCATAAGGATACATGCTAAGCAAAAATATAACTGATCATATTTGCACTGTGACATGTGGAATAATTTAATAGACTGAATTAGTGATGATTAAATGTAATGATCTGGTAACTGTGAGGACTCTGTTGGGTGTTTTTTTTTATGAAAGTTCACTTGCAGATCACTGCAGTTTTTATTTCAATGTAAAACATAAAAGAATCTTCTGTTTCAGTCACTGGCTGATTTCTTCATGTCATATTTTTCTGTCACACTTTCTTCATATCTTCAACGGCTCTTCAGACGTTTTCAAGGTCATTTGAAGTTTTCATTTGCAGTTTTTTTATTTGTTTAATTTTCTCTAGCTTCATGTTCAGTTCTGTGTACGGCCACACAAGCCTGCTGTGCAACATGTGTTTAAAAAAAGCACAAAACAAAAAAACTATGTAGCATTTTAACCAATTATCTAAACATTACTTTTCAGCTAATTGCTGTTTGTAAATCTGTTGATTGGTGCTAAAATATGTTTCAATATCAATTATTTTTAATGCAAAGTCATTAGAGCAATTTGTGTCTTAGTACTGAAGTGATTAAAAGTCACAACTTTGAAAGAAACGTAAAAACTCCAGTTTGCAAATGCACTGAGGGAAAAAGACTTTAGTTTCTGAGGTCATTTGGACAAAAAGCTGAAATGCTTTGAATGTTGAGAATGCACACCCCTCTGTGAAGTACAGGGGAGGCAGCATCATGTTGTGGGGCTGTTTTTCTGCAGGAAGGATTATTACTAAATCATGACAGCTACGATCATGAGGCAAGAACATCTAAAACCAAGGAAGTTAAATCTTGTGCACAAACAGGTCTTTCAACTGAATAATGTCTGAAAATAAATGAGTTACAAAGTGGCATAAGGACAACAAGATCACTGTGTTACGGTGACCGTCAGTAGCTGTGTTTCCATTGATAATAAAATTGCACAAATTGAACTTACCAAAGTAAATTTGCTTCATAAACACACGTCAATTAAAAAAAAAACTTTTTTGATAAAAGGTAAAGTAGGAGTAACACTCCTTCAACATATTTTTACAAAGTAAAAGTAAAAAGTAGCCATTCAAGAAGTATTTGGTAAAAACACTACTCAAGTACTGAATCATTTAATATTTAAAACCTACATAATCAGGCAGACTAAAGTATAAAGTTATGTGGAAATGTTGGTATTTTAAAATGAAAATAGTTTATATAAAGTAAAACAGCTACAAAACAAAATCCAGTCTTTCATCAAAGTGTTCATATATTTAAACTGTGGACAGATATTGTGGTTTGATTTATTGTGTTTTAGTAGTAGCTCTGAAATACACTTTAACCCTTAAATGTGAGGAAGCTTTCACTTTAGCATGAGCAGGGTGCTTTCATCTGGACCTTCAATCAGTCAATCAATCAATCAAATTTTATTTGTATAGCACATTTCAGACCTTGACATATTTCTAATTGCTCTTTGTGAATGAAATCCATGTCTAGACTTCAGCTCTTTAATCTGGGAACATTATAGCTGCAGGAAAATATAAATGCCAGATGGAGGTGCTAAAGTGAGCACAAAGGACTGGATGCTGATGACATCGAGGAACTTTTTATAAGCAGCAGGAGAAAAGGATTTTGTCGGTCGTAAATGACGTTACTGGCTGGGGCATTTTTAAGGAGGAGAATGAAAGCGAGTAGCGGACAGCCGTGCTGTTGCAGACAGGAAGAGCACATATTTGCCTCCCGGCTTCATTGTTTTACATCTGCGGGAACAAGATCTTCATCTCCCTGACATATTTAAAAGCTCGTCTGAATTGGTCACGCAGCTGAGCCGACTGTATCTAGATAAAAGCTGATCAGGGGGGATTTATCTGATAATCACCCGGAAGTTGTCAGTCAACACTAAGAAAAGCAAATCCATGTAAAACCATTACGGTAGTCGGACCAGATTGAAGTAATGCAGTTATCAGTGACATGCTGTGGTTTTCCTGCCTTATAGGTGCAGCCATGTGGCAGAGGATTCAAATTTGCTGTGCGCTGTTTGCGCTGCATTCAGCGGCAGCGCCTGCACACATCAACCGCCTGGCGCTGTTCCCTGACAAGAGCGCCTGGTGCGAAGCCAAGAACATCACTCAGATTGTCGGACACACAGGATGTCAGCCACGCTCTATCCAAAACAGGTCAGGATGAAGGCCCTCTCTGTCCAACCAACAGGCTGAAAGACAACAACCTCACACAGCTTGTTTTCAATTGTTCAGTTTGTTTCTGCTTTTAGTTTGATGTAGACAATTTTATTCATAAGTTTTATAATATTTTTCTTAATATCATTTTATTTTATTCTTAATTGTTTATTTTCATTTATTTTTTATTTTATTTTAGATTTTAATGTTTGTATTCATTTCTTGGGGTTATCTTTAGTTGAATTTCATATTTTAATCTTCATCTTATTTTTCCTTGTCTTATTTTACATAAAATAATATAACGTTTTCTTAATTTTATGTTTGCTCTTAACTTGCTTTATTTCATTACCTTTATAATTTCACCACGTGTTTGTTGGCATCAGGACATTTTATTTATCTGTTTTATTAGTTTCAATATTTCCATTGCTAAAATTTCTACATATATGCATAAAGGTCAAACAAAAAAATTAATAGCCGTTAAAATAAGGACTGTGCAAATTTATTGGACTAAGTAAGTTACATTAAGAGCCTTCCATGTGCAAATCATTTTATACTTTTCTCTCTAGATTTGAGTGCAGGCTCTATTTATGGTAAGCAGTCTTCTCCAATGAAGTCATGCAGACTGCAAAACAGCAAGAGAACAGATATTAGTTTAGTAAAACTCTCCTATAGATATCTGTGGAACATTTTCTTTTAACAAAGTTTAGTTAAAGTTTAATGGACAATGGAACAATAAATGTTGGAAAATAAGTTTTTGGATTTCTTAGGTTGACTTATTTAACCTTTAAATAGCCCAAATTAGATTAGTTTCTGTTTCAGATTTGTCCCATTTTTGGATGTTTCTTGTTAAATGATTTTGTATGTTAGATATCTTGAGGATAAAAATCAATGTGTTAAAAGTTCAAAAGCAAAACTTACCTCCTTTATTTATAGAAAATATTCACTTCATTCATCTGAAACCTGATGTCGATTTTACCATCCGAAAACTCTCGAATGACCACCATTTGTAAAAAACAAGTCTCCATTTTGTGAGTGTATGTTTTCCCCGAGGCCTCTGAGAATCCTTAGGCTTTGTAAATCAGTTCAGATTTCAGGCGCTCTGTTTTTTTTCCCCCTGCAGCTCTTGCTTACACAGGCGCGAGCGCTTCGGTCGACTCCAGCACATCATGTCTGTGGGACAGGCACGTTCATGCACTCTCTCCTCTTTGTTATACAGAGCCTGTCTGGGCCAGTGCTTTAGCTACAGCGTCCCAAACACGTTCCCACAGTCCACCGAGTCCCTGGCACACTGTGACTCCTGTACGCCTGCCCAGACACAGTGGGAAGTGGTAAGAGTTATTGCACATTAGCTCACGTAGCGCACTGCAAAAACACAAAATCTTACCAAGTATTTTGGTCTAGTAAAGTTTTTGGTCTATAAAAAATTACAAGTTCCACTGGAAGGTTATTTCACTTATAATAAGACTTTTTTTTCCATAAGAGAAATAATCTCCATTTTGTGAGTAGAAATGGTACTTTTTCATGAATATGAAGGAATTATTGACTTAAAACAAGCTCATATTTTCTGCTGAAAAGTTACTTGTAAGTTTGCCTTATTTCAAGTGTACTAAAATATTTGCACAAGAAACTAGACCAAAAATACTTGGTAACATTTTGTGATTTTGGAGTGCAAATGTACACCAGCACTTGCCTGTGGATGTGGGATGAGATGTGTTTGCTTCTTTAAACAACCATAAGAGAAAAACCATGAAAACAGTCTCAGTAGATGAAGCAGTGTAGTGTTTTATATTCTGCTAAGGCAACTCAAAACAACTTGCATTCTTTTTTATTCTCACTCTCTGTGTCGACTTGTTGATGTTTATTTCACCATTATTAATAATTGGTTTTCTGGACACAGTGGTGGTTAATTATTTAAACACCTGCTCTGCTGATGATCTGTCAGAAAGTAGGTGGTGGGTCGCTTCAGCGTAGATATGCTGGAGTTAAGGTTGTCAAGTCAAGCTAGCATAACTGACCTACTTTCCCTCCCTATTTTTTTTTTAATTAAAACTTTTTATTGACCTGTGAAATGTGATATTTTTGGACTTAATTTCCTAGTTGTTTTAGTGTTGAAAGTTAGTGGTGTAGAAGTAAACTGAGTAAAAACGCCTTTTGAACTACCTATATGCTCTTATTTTGGCAACTTTCGAGTGAGCGTAGCTATGGTAACGGAACGGGACGGTTAACCGCAACACAGAAAAAATTAACAGCCAAATAGAAATAAATGATAAAAAAGGAACTTAATTTTACCTTCAGTCGATAAGGGAGCAAGGTTAGTAACATTCCGTCCCTTTTCCTGTTATATATTACGCTTATATTTAAGATTTAGCGCGTTATGCTGACGACTAGACAGTTATAACCAATGGTAGTCATCGTCTGGTTAGCCGGGGGCGGGATCTTGCGCGTGTGACGTCACGTTTCAACGTAGATATTTGAATCCAGAAGGAAGTCGTCGTGAAAACAAAGGATTTGTGGGAGGTGTAGTTTGGAGAGCTGCCAGGTAGACATGACAGGTGAGGTACTAACCCTCCTGGAGGAGAACACAGGCAAGAAGAAGAAGAAGAAAAAAATGCATTTTCAATCACTTTCTTCCTGTTTATGTGGAAATGGATGCCTTTGTCTGTGGAAATGATTGTTGTTTCTGGACTTTTAATCTAATTGAGTTTGAAGAAAAGCAGAGTCGGTTCTCACGAAAGAAGACACTGCTCCCTGATGCTCCGGCTCTTGTTGAAATGGCTAAATGATCATTTTCTGGGGATAATAGAAACAGAGAGGGAGGGAAGCGAGTTGTGTGAGGTCTGGAGAGCTGGCTGAGTTTGTGTAAAGCTCCTCAGCAGGTCTAAATATGCCTATTTGTACTTCATGTTAAAAGCTGACCAACTTTATCTCTGTTTCACCGAGTGTCAGATAGGCGTGGGTCAGTATGAAATTCTCATAGCATGGTAACTTTAAGCTGTAGCATTAGTGCTTTTAGTGGTTTTGTTAAAAAGAGCTGATTTGGATCTATTTATTTTCCAAGTCTGGATAAGACTGGAAAAAGGAAAATATGAAAATAATAATTAAAAAATGCATTTCCAGACTTTAAACCCTAAAGTATTACATAAAGATTGTCCTTCTTTAGACTTTCTTTCATTCCTTCCATGATTTCTTTGTAATTTATTTGCTTCCTTTCTTCGTTCCTTGTGTCCTTGTTTTCTTGCTTATTTTCTTTCCTCACTGGTCTTTCTGTCCTTCCTTCCTCATTTCTTACATTCGTCCTTTCCCAGACTCTGTTTCTCCTCTCTTGTTTCAGTGTCCTTCCCGTTTCTTTTTTTCTCTGATACTGAATTTCATGTGTCCCAACTGTAGAAAAAAAATCTGCCATAAAGTCATGCAGAACTTCAGTATTTCATATTTTAATGTGAAACTAATGAACTGAGAACTCTGGCATGTTGAGCTTGGAAAAGTGTTAAGATTTTACAGATATATATATATATATATATATATATATATATATATATATATATATATATATATATATATAAACTTTTGTTTTTGGATATACCTATTTTAATATTGCCTTGCCTTTCAATTGGGAGGACAGGCTTGTTTGACACTCTTTCCAGTTTTGAGTGATAGATTGAACATTGCTTCAGGTTTATGGATATTGTTTTTAACCTAACTCTGCTTTAAACTTCTTTTACCTTCTGCTGTTTTCCTTGGTCTTCCTGACGCTGTTTGTTTACTAAGAAACCTCTGAAGGCTCCACAGAAGTAAAGATGATTTATACTGAGGTTAAGTTACACAGGAGGGCTCTGTTTAGTTATTTCTAAAGCCAGTCAGTTGCTCTGGTTTTATATGGAAATGTTAGAGTAACTGGGCTGAATGCACCACCAGATATTTACAAATACTGTACTGTAAAACATTTATAAAACTCTATAGGCCATGTTTCTAACACTTCAAAATGTCAGAAAGCAGAAAGATCACATATGGCTGAAATGATTAATCAGATTAATTGCATTGAATCAATTATTATAATAATTGTCTGGTAACTGATTAATCGTTACCTACACAGACTCAAACAAAAAAGCTAAAATAACAACATGTTCACATCTGCAATTAAGCCAAAGCTGTACAAAAATATATATATTTGCATATAAAATATAAAAACCCTTTGTTTGTAAATATGTTCTAACCAAAACTCCTCAAGTTGCAGTTTTAGCTTCACCTGGTTCAAATTCTGAAGGAAAAAAAAAAACTGTTATTAAGTAACTTTTGCTGTCCATTTATTAACCAGTTAATTGAAAAACTAAACGGATCAGTCCTGCACTGTGTTCATGTTAAGTCAAGCAGAACGGGCTGAGCTTTGCACGTTTATTTTTTTTTAAAGGTGCACCTTTTGCTATGATCAAAGGAATGCTATGTGGTTGCATTTTAGGAAATAAATGTTTATTTTCTTATTTTAAAAGGGGATTTAATTGTTTATTTGCATCTTTTAATGTATTTAATAGAAAAGGCTCTTATGATAGATCATCAGAATGTGCCTATTGTTTTATTTTATTGATAATTACTAAAATAATCGCTGGTTGCAGCCCTAATTTCAAGTAACAGAGTTATAAAAAAATGGAAACAACTGTTAAAACAACATAGAAATAAACTCTAAACTTCAACGGGTGTGTTAATTTGCGTTAATGCGTTTACCTGCAGGTGACTCTGGAATGCCCCGGCAGCGAGGATTCTCCACGCGTGGACAAGCTGGTGGAGCGGATCCTGCACTGCAGCTGCCAGTCCTGCAGTAAGGAAAGCGTCCAGGAGGGGGCGGTGATGCAGCTATATCCAGCAGACAACACCCTGGATTCAGCTCCGTCTCTGTCCGACCCCCTGATCGGAGACCCGGCCCACTCTCTGCCCCACGCAGACAGCCTGTCTGACAAGCAGGCCCACCCTCACGCGCACCACCATCCCACGCTGCCCCACGCGTCAGACGGAGGCTAGAGCCACAGCTGTAATGACTCTCTGCTCGCCTTTGCTCCTCCTCCACGCTGCTTCCTCTGTAGTATCCTTACAGCACTTTGAATCTTTCTTTGAAGGCAAAAACCCACAGAGCCGCGTTATCAGAATGAGCTCACATAAACACTACGCACTTCTCTGTTTTCAATAACACACGCAGAGGCCTGATGACTATAGCCTGTTGATATACTGTAGGGCTTTTATTCTGCTTTGAATGTAATAAATGCTCTGTTTGTGGTAACCGTCTCCTGTCTTCTGTTCATATAAATTAATCAGAGTCGTCTCCAGCCTGGGAAACTCTTTGATTTCTAGGTTTTACAAATTTGTATAAGTATTGAAAAGAAAATAAGAAATTTGAAGATATTTTGTACTTTTATACTTTATTCCAATCCTGTTGTCCAAACATTGTGTCCTTTCTTCCTTCTGTTCTTCCCTCTACGCTGTCTTATTTTTTCTTGAGTCCTGCTTCCATAATTCCTTCCTTTCTTTTTGCCTTGTATCTGTCAGTCTTGCTTTCTTACCTAGTATCCTTTCTTTACTTCCTTTACGTCCTTCACATCCTTTCCTTCTTACCTTGAATCTGTCTGTCCTTTCTTAGTGTCCTGCCTTCTACTTTTTCTTTCTTTGTATCGTTCTTTCCTTCCTTCCTTTCTTGTTCTCTTGCTTCTTTACCCTCTAGTCTTTCCCTCCTTTTATCCTTCCACCACCTCTCTTGTTTCTGTACTTCTTGTATCCTCCCTTCCTTGACTCCATTTGTCCCCTCTGTTCTTCCTTACTCTCACTCGTTCCTCTCTACCTTGTCTTTTGCTATTTTCCATTTGAATAATGTTTTATTTTAAATTTTATAGGTTGGAAGGTCTCCTTGCCATCACCCTAATATTTAGCTCCTTCAACTTCCAGTTTGGACTCTGGACGTGGTTCTTCAAAACATTAATGTTACAGTTAGTCATTAAAAACATGTTATTAAAGGTAAATGATTACGTTAAGGCTAAATATGAATGAGCACAAACACTTCCAGGCTGTGTAAGGTTTACCCTCGACTCCCCTTCAAAAACAAAGCTGTGTTTCTGTTTGGCACAAAGTCTTGGTGCCTTTGATCAACAAACCTCCAGCTAAGGGCAAACATTTTATAGATGCACAGAAGAGCTGCATGATGGGAAAGCAGCAGGCTGTTTACGGCTTCGTTCGTTTGAATCCGATCCGTCTGCCTCAAAGGTAAATCTCATGTTTTGGGGCCGAGATGAAAGCTTATGCCCAGTTTTGCTTGTTTACACATTTTCATTTAGGCAACTGAATTTAAAGAGCTTGTTTAAAATTTATGTCCCAAAGTCCCTTCATGCCAGCTGTATGTTGTTTTGTGTAAAAGGAGAACAATCTGGGCGACTTTTGTTGATGATCAGTACGGTTAGAAATTGTTCATCTTTTGTCTTATGAAAAACAAACTGCAGTGCTTTTTACTGGAGGTTTGTGTGACGGGCCAACTCAAAATACGACATGAGGAATGCGAGCATAAATCTGACATCACACCGTCATGAACGCAAAGGACTCTTCAAGAATGACTGTTATCATGAAGTGACATTCGGTAAATAAAAACACTTTTAATGGAAAGTTGCATTAAAGTCCATTAAAAGTGTCAACTTTGCATTAGAAATGTAATTTCTCAAATGACACTTCATGACGCCGTTTTAAGTCAGGAACATAAGTTTACAAAGGACAAATGGAAAAACTTTATTTTGTTAAAGGTTACCTTAGTTATTTATTTTCTTACATTAATATTCACTTATTGTGCCAAGTTAAATATAGTTTTTGATTTATGGTTTTATATGTTGCGTTTGCTAATTTTGTATTTTTTGTTCCTTTTTTATATTGTGTCTCCCTCCTGTGGCAGGTTTAGGTTACTGCACCACTATTTAAGCTGACTGCAGGTCAGTTTTTGTCTGAGTTCAGTTAACCACAGTTGAGTTGGGCCCAAAACAATGTTAAATATCATTTAATGTATTTTGCACTGGAGTATTTTTGACATTATTAAATTGATTTTCCCCCCACTTTTGGAGAACACTGGGCATCAGCCGAAACACTTCATCCTGTCTTTAAGATATGGTGGTGGCAGCATCATGCTGTGGGGTTGCTTTCCTTAAAGGAGAAGATTATGTAAATGTAAGAACACAATCAAGTAACTATATGATCTTGAGTTATTATAAAAATGTTTCATGTATCAAATATGACATAAAACAAATTTGACTTTATAATGTAATCCTTTGAAATTGGTCTCTGTCTCTTTAAGAAGCTCCCACTTTGTCTGACACAGCAATATTTCTCTAAGTTTACAAACGTTCTGAGAAGTAGATCATATGACAAACTCAGCAGATGCGTAGTTCCACCAGGTGTTTGCTAATTGCTGCTGGCTAGTCTGAAGGAGCTGAGGGAATGATATATGACATAAAGCTAAGAAAAAATTAATTTACACATTACTGCCTCTTTAAGTAGAGAGGAGGAGGGTTTTCAGAGGTGAAGCAATGAATTTGTTCCTCCTATAAATTAAACACTGTAATTGGTAGAGCATTTTTTTTATATTATTTATGTTTGTACAATTATTTTTCTTTCTCCATCAAGAACCATTTTCCTGAATGTCCAACACTGAAAGCAAAATGTTTTAATGTGTGTTTCAAGTTCGATGGATGGCTTCCTTTAAACCACTCTGTACTTTGTGTGCTCCTTGTCACTGGCGTAAGATGAATTACCACGGTAACGGGATGTTGTGAAGCTAATGGATGGTGAGTGGCCTAATGCATGTCTGAAGGCAGAGTGACAGAGTCAAAGGCAGGTAAACACAAGGTCTCAGAGCAGCAAGGGCAACATGTTCAGCTTTCTCAAGTGGAATATCACTCAAAATTCACCACAATAAGAAAAATACAAGAGATCATTAGTGAATAAACTCCAAAAACCAAATTATTTCCTTTAAAAAGTTCCCAAATGGTCCAGCAGATGTCTCTGGTGAGAATGTCTACAGGTTTTACTGACTTATCTTCAGTCACCTTATCTACATCTTCTCTTGTTCCTTATCTTAAGATCTGTTGTTCCTGCCTCTCCCTTTTCCTCACTCTGCTCCCACGTCCTCTGACGTCTGTCTCTTCTTCTGTGTAATTAAATTTGATCAGCAAAAGGTTGGCTGTCTGACTGCACTGGAAAGCAAATCAATCATGCCGTTATCTCACCCCAGCACATGTTGACAATGTTTTCAGGACCATGAGGCCCAGCGTGCTGAGAGAGGAATTAAGAAGGACATTTCTCAACATATTGCAGCTTTTTGTTGCATTTTATATGGTTTTTAGACGGCTGAATTCATTGTTGCCCTTTTAACTGCAACTCTGTTTCTGAGAAAGATGTCTAGACTTTTAAAGTAATTCATTTTATGAATTGGAATACACAAAACACACAGATTTCTGCACTTATGACCCTGCAGTCTGAGCACATATTGCTGTTATAGCTGCTTGTTTACAGAAGATTTTATGTTTATAAAGGTCAACTTGTTATAATTTGACCAGACGGCATCATTTGAACGTTCTTGTTTTACTTTAAAGTAAAACAAGAACTTTTTTACTTTAAAGCTTAAAAGTAAAGCTTTAAAGGGGGTGCAGCCGGTAAAATACACTTGTGTCATGTTTTCATGCAGGTGTGTCAAACTCATTTTTCTTAAAGGTTCTCAAATAACTGATTGTTCCAACACATACTGATAAAACTCATCAACAGTCTGCAAAAACATAAATAGCTGTCAATGATTACTTCTGAAATCAAATAATATTGAACATACTGATGTCATTTGGTATTGTATAGATAAAAACTCCTTTGATTTAATTGATGCAAAGTCATTTTTAAGCACAAAACTATTATTTTAAAGCTTCTATTAATGTGAGGGCCAAAAAAATAAAGCTATGGAGAGCCGGATTTGGCCCCCCGAGCCTTGAGTTTGACACATGTCATGTTATTCTCTCATCAAGAGCAAGAGCTTCTTAAAGAGGCAGAAACCAATTTCAAAGACAGTAAAATTTCTTTTTAAGTTATTTTTGACATATACAGTGTTTTTATAACTGAAGCTATAAAATGACTCCATAAGCCTGAAAAATAAACAATATTGCCCCTTTAACTAACTAAATCTTGTCCTAGAGTTTTTGTTTGTTTTAATTTCTACCATTCAGGTCATGGGTCACATAAAATATTTCCAAGTGCTGCAAAAGGCACCGGAGCCTCAGTTTGAACACCCCTACTTTAAACATTGTTCTGTTTCCCGATGATTTTCCAAAGAGACTGAAAAAAAAATCCCCCGAAAATGTGCGACTAAATCGTAACAAAAAGGCACGTGCTGCTTTTAAACACGCAGCCTGAACACCGCGGAGCGCGCACGCACGTGCGCGCGCTCCGGAGCATCGCTCCCGGGGACGCGCAGCGGAAGCGAGCAGCAGCAGCAGCATCATCTCTCCAGCAGCGCAGGGTTCAAGTCACAGGCGCTGCAGTTTGTTCAAAGCCGAGCCAGAAACAAGAGTTTATTTTAAACAGGAATAAAAATAAAAGCTGCGCGACGATCAGCGGAGGAGAGACGGAAACAAACAGAGAGCGGCGGGATTTACTGAGCGAGGTGAGCGACATTTAACCGCCATGTGTTATTATAATGATTCAGCTGGAAAAGAAAACTGATTTAAAATAAAAAAATAAATATGCGTGACTTTATGCCATCTAGATTTTACATTTTGCTATGTGTGCCTGGCCAAAACAGAGGGGTCTGCTTTAGAGTTAATTAAAACTAGATAAATATTTCTGATTAAATATGGAATCTGTATTAGAATACGAGGTGAATGAAAAATAATATATTGGAGAAATGTACAAATTTTATATTTAGAAAACTAATTATGTTAAAAGATAGCAGATATAGAGCTTGGTAAATGTATTTATTCCCTTCTTTCCTACATATTTTAATTTTTGTGAGTATTTATGTAATAGAAAAACACAAATTAGCATAAAATTGACTTTTGTATTCAGTCTCGAGTAGGCCTGTCTCAATAACAAATTTAACAGGAATATTGTTATTTTGAGGCCATTTTGAAGTAATATAATGGTAATGGCATCATAATGCAAGAACACATTGTCAAAGATCAATAAACTTTAAATTATAATGAACATTTTACACTGGAACAAACTTTAAATATCCAAAATAAACAAAACAGAAACAACAAATTAAATTATGTTCTTCTAAAACAGGACTGACTGAGACCAAACACCAGACTGAAGACTTTAATCATCCTGTTTTAGAAAGAGAGAAAAATGGAAACTATTGAGCTTGTTTTCATTTATCAAATGATTAACTGATTTATTGATTTATTGTGACATGTCTACTCCTGAGTCAATACTTACACTGCAGCTTTCCACACCTGGAGAATAAAGTGTTTGTTTATTTTACAAAATAAACTCTCAATCGATTGGATAGCAGTTGTAAGGAGACATTTTTAAGCTCTGGACTTTGACTAGGCCATTCCAGCACATGAATACACTTTAATCGAAGTCAGTGGTGTCCAAACATTTTGCACTGGGGGTCAAAACTGACAAACTTAAGCTATTGGTGAGCTACAAGATTCATTAAATCAAAATGCAAACTTCTTTAATTTTTTTTCTTTTTTTAGTGTTACCTGCTCAACAGTAAACATCATTTCTATGAAATCTGAATATCGTCAAAGATTCAAAACATAAAAAGAGCTTCAGACTGTCGCCTTTTTAAAAGAAAAATAGACAATTTCATCACCCGTTTTCAGTTTTGTTGGCCAAATGCTGGACTTCGGGTCAGGGGCCACAAACGGCCCCTAGGACACACTTTGGACACCCCTGATCTAAACATCTGACTGTCCTGAATGATTTTTCATAGCAGTCCTTTGTTTCGGTCTCCATGGTGAACAACATGCTCAGTAAGGGGTACCGTCGGTTCTGCCTCCCAGGATGTGTGGTGTGGATGTGGACCTGGAGGACGGCGGCTCAGCGGACGAGGAGAAGGAGGAGGAGTTCTGGGTGGGGGATGCCGTGAAGATGCTGCCCCCCCCAGTGGCGCACAGTGACGGCAGCGCGTGGGGCGGCCGCAGGGGAGCGTGCGGCTCGGTGGCCTGCGGGGCGGTTCTGGTCCTGTGGAACCTGTGCGTGGTGTCGGCCGGCGCCCTGCTGCTGGCGCTGGTCTTCTGTGTGGTGCTTCTGCCTGCGGCGCTGCTGCTGTACGCCGGCTTCCTCTGCCACTCCAGAGTGAGTCCTGACCGATGTGTTCACTTCCTGTTGATTCTCTGCAGGAGGGAAGAGAACGACCACTCTGACCCAAACTCTTCGATTCAGAGAACCAAAACACTCTGACCCAAACTCATCCATTCAGAGAACCAAAAGACTCTGACCCAAACTCATCTGTTCAAAGAACCAAAACACTCTGACCCAAACTCATCCGTTCAGAGAACCAAAACACTCTGACCCAAACTCATCCATTCAGAGAACAAACACTCTGACCCAAACTAAACCTTCATTTATTTATTACCATCTATCCTTCATTAGTGTGTCCTTCCTTCAACCTTTCCTTGACTCCTTTCTTGTGGCCTTCATCCTTTCTTTGACTCCTTTCCTCCTCTCTCGTCTCCTTTCTGATGTTTGATGCTCCTTTAGTTTCTGTACATCAGTAAATATTTCCAAAATGCCTCATTTTTATGTTATGTTAACATGAGAAAAACATTGAATCTCTCTTTCAGACAGCTGGCCAGCAGTGTGCAGAAATAGGTGGGGGATGGGCAGTACTGTCAAATAACTGAAGAAATTCCTGTTGCTCCAGGATTTCCTCTGTTGTCTAATCTAGACATGAAAATGCTACATTAAAGGAATATTTTGTATCTTTAAAACTTTGTAAAACCTCAGAAACCAACCAACCTGAGCAGAAACAAGCCGCTATTTGATCATGAATCAAACTGCATCATATCTTCACTTTGAAACAACCGTTAGATTAATTTTTTATTTCAGTAAAGTTGCAGTCAAAATGTTGGCGCGCTCATTAGCTGTAAAGAAATAAGGAAAGATTAAAAGATCATAAATATTTGCCCCATCAAAACTGTTGCTGGGAAAATTAAATATTTTACTACTTAATTGAATATTTTACTGCCTTTTGAGTTTTCAGAATGAAATAAATATGATGCTGCTAATACACAGCGTTGTGGACGAACATTAAATTAAGTTGAATCGTCCTCAGTGGCTTATTTTTATTCTGTTTCTGCACTGGAGCCGTTTTTCATGATTCCTGCTTCTGAACATCGTTAAACATCGGGTTAAGATCCATTCTTCTTTCTATTAACACTTTGCTTTAAGCCTTTCTGCTGAAGCATCAAAGGAAATGTCCTGCTGAAAATATCTGAACTTTCAACTTCTGTCACCATTTCTTTTATCTAATTATGGCAAAAGTGGAAAATTACACTTTGCTAAAATTGTTTATTTTAGTTTCTCTTCCTCGATCTATGCCTTTATGTAAACTTAGGACACCGTTTGAAAGCCTGTGTGTTTTCTAACATTTATATATGTAGATATTTTACATAAAGCATGACTGTTTGGTTAATTTGTCTAAAACCATCAGAAATAAGACAGTAGCAACTTTTCTGTCTGGTAATGCATTTAAAAAATGGCCAAATACAATCAGACAGGAACCTCATTCCAGCTGCGGGGCACGGTGGTGGAAGTGTCATGGTTTGAGGTTGCTTGCTGCAGCAGCACTTGACTGTGATTTAAATCAAGTTTTAGATGAGACTCGATGAAATCCGAGAAGAAAAACCAGAACAAACCAGTAAATCCATCAAGACCTGATTGACATGGAAGGCATTGGCCTAGTCAAAGCCCAGATTTTGATCTCATTAAAGTTCTGTGGGGTGAATTTAAGCTGAAATAGGGTGTAGAGCAGGGGTGGGCAACTCCAGGCCTCGAGGGCCGGTCTCCTGCAACTTTTAGATGTGTCTCTACTTCAACACACCTGAGTCAAATAATGAGGTCGTTAGCAGGACTCTGGAGAACATGACTGCACTTAGGAGGTGATTCAGCTGTTGGATTCAAGTGTGTTGGACCAGGGAGGCATCTAAGAGTCGCAGGACACCGGGCCTCCAGGACCAGGATGGCCCACCCCTGGTGTAGAGTGTCTTAAATTTTTCCTCACCCCGAAATGTTTCAGTCTATTTTAGACATTTAGCAAAACCTGGTTTATTTTGCTTAAGAGGAAATAAATACATTAATTTTCCAGAGATATAAAAAAACTGGATTAAATTAGTGACATTTTCTTCTTAAAGAACAGAATATTTACTGGGGTGTTTTACATTTTATACATGACTGCACTTGTAACTCAGCATGAAGTCATTATAAAAACATAATTGCCAACCTTTCAAAGGGAATATTGCAGCTTTCATACATAAAATGAATAATTACATAATTATAAGCCTTAAGATGCTGAAATATTTTAACTAAACCATTTTCCTCCTAAATCTCTGACTCTTGGCAGGACAGAGGTTCTGGCAGAACCAAAACTTTCATTTAAATGTAATTTGACATCTTCAGAGAGAACAGGCAACGCCTCAGATCCACCCGCACATGTCTGGACCCGACCGGCGCCGCCATCCACATTAAAACAGGCCCAGCAGGGAGTCTGCACTCATTACCTGCTTCATGGGGAGCTGGGTCATGTTTCACAGGAAGCAGCGTGTGCAGGAATCTGTGGAGAGATGAAATCAACTCTGCAGAAACACGGCACACAAATAAACCCAACAGAAAAATAAATTCAGAAGTTTATAAGCCTCAAACTTTTACCTTCACGCATGTCGAGCCACTTTTTACAACAATATGTCTGCAAACGTCTTTGAAATAATGTATTTATAAAAACATCAGGGAGCGCTTGGATTTAAAAGTCAACATTCACTTTGGTCATTTATGGTTGGAGCAAAAGTTAAAATAGAAAAAAAAACAAAACAACAAATCTTTATAAAATACTTTCTGGGCAGAAATGCAGAAATAAAACTGACAGGTTCAGTTGCTCTGCAGACCGGAATCAGAAACAAACTTAAACGGACGATTTATTTGAGAGGTTATTACCTTCGCAGACGCAGAATAATGTCACGACACAGTGTTTTTTAAACCCACTCAAACTGTGAAATGTTAATATTCAAACATATTCAAACTGTTAATATTCAAACCTCTGGCAGATTTAAATTTTAAGTTATTGTTATTCAAACAAGAATGCAGTTTATGGTTGAAAATGCAAGAAATATTTTCAGAAATATTAAGAAGACAACATTCAAAGGATAGCAATGAATAAATAACTAATTAAATAAGCTTCTACTTTTATATTTTAACAACAAATTGAACCAACTAATAAACCACCGAACAGCTTTTCATATGTTTCCACTGGTATTTTTTACCATTTTTTACGATGAGCTCCAAGTTTTTAAGTTTGGAGAGACTCTAACCATCACCCTAATCAGATTAAAGTCAAATTACATTAAATTTAAAGTCTGCCAGGGAATATATCTGTGGCTTAATGCATTGCTCCAGTGTAATAACAGTCACTGTTCACACACAAAAACTCAACAACAGTTAACTTATTAACACCTGGTTTATTTATCTTTCCACAAACTCTCTGCAATATGACATCTATCTGAGCTGTTACTGATAACACCTTCAAAAAATACAAACTATCCCTTTAACTGTAACCCTACCACTCAGGTCAACATTGGAGGAGGTCTGGAGATCTGGAGCTAGAACGTTTTGTCAAATCATGAAGCCTGTTTAGAGAGAGAACTGAACAAAAACAACGTGAAAATGTCCAGAAACCAACTCTGAAAATATCTTCTCTATGCCACAGTGATTAATGGCAGACATTATGAAATAAAAACACACGCAGTCAGAAAAAACGAGCACACTAATGTCCTCTCAGATGATCGTTACGGAAAAATCTAGAGGTATGCTGGGCAAATTACCCCTCCACTGCAGAAGAGAGGAAAACCACTCAGCTGACTGCACAATCTAAATACTTACTTAACTCACTTTTACATATTAAATAACCGTTTCATGTATTTTTAATGAGGAGCAAAGATAATTAGCACAAACTCCCTACCATCTGACAAAAGGCTGCCCTGATTTTCTGCTTCCTAGGTCACATCTACTCATCTTTGCTTCCAAAATCAACAACATGTCTTCCCCAAATTGTCCAAATATTTGCATGCAGCTGCAGAAAATGTTCACAAATCATTTACGAGGAGGAATCTGCACTGTTCATGCGCACTCTGACTTGTTTACCCCAGCTGGAAGTTCAGGCATGTAACCCCATAGAGAAGACGTTCTGCTAGCAGACGACCAGCAGTCAGGATTTTTGGCAGAAATATGAACCTGATGGCACCTTCAGCATGAAGGAAACCCTTAAAGAGACTTTCTGGATTTAAGCACGAGCAACAAATGTACAAAAAACCCCACAAACTTCAATGTATGCTGGTAGGATTTTATGGCTATGCCAACATAAAGCAGCACAAGATATTTAAAAACAAGTTTATTCTGCCATTCCTGAGTTAATATTTTTTATTTTACCCTGCAAGCTTTTCAGGACATCGACTACCAGATTTACAAAACAAAAACTGTTCTTCAGGCTGAATATCTAAAGTCAGCTTTAATTTCAGGACTGACCTGTTTTTAGCTCATCCCAACAACTCACCAGCTTCCCAGCATGATGCTGCCACCACCATACTTCACAATGTTACATTATTATTACATAATGTGGATTACAACGCCAATTTGTGTAATAACAATGTAATAAAATCAGGCTTCAAAATGTAATAAAACATAATCAAAACTTCATTATGTAATAATCAATCAAATCAATCAAAAACACTTTGCTGATCCCAAAGGAAAATTAAGTGAAACTCAATTCAAAGACTTCAAAGAGTTTTTGTTGATAGTTGGGAGGACAGATTTCCTGCAGCAGTCTGTATTACAGTGAATTTGAAGAAGCTTCTAACTGAAGACTGTTTTCCTGAGACAGTCTCAAAATGTAACTTAAGAACAGAAAGTTTGAGATTTATCGTTAAAAGTTTTAAAGTAAATGCTTGTAGGATCTACAACATGATCTTATTAGAAGTTTAACGATTGGGATGAAAATAAACTGTTTTATTGAGGTCTCTGTAGCTCCACCAGAGCCTCCTGCCTGCTCCTTCTCAGTTTAGGTGAACAACACTGTGTTGGTGTGTTTGCAGTACACTGTGAAAATAGAACAGGAGATCCATCTGAAGTATATTGTGTTAATTGGTCAGTAATAATCAAATTAAGTTGACCAAAGTTAGTTTGCTGGAGGGGGGGTATCATGTAAAATCGTTTTTTTCAAATTTACATCATGTTATAATGTTATTATCTCAACAAAAAGATACCTGGAATGTTGACTTGATTCAAGCTGCTCAGCTCCTTCAGACTAGCCAGCAGTAATTAGCAAACACTTGGTGGAACTGCACATCTGCTGAGCTCATTAAGGAGCTACTTCTCAGTGCAGCGCTGGTAAAATGTTGTTAAAGGGTTAACAGAGGAGCGAGGTTGTGATGACTTCCTGTAGGCGGAGTTTCAGAAAGAGTGGGAGTTTCTTAAAGAGACAGAGGCCCAATTTCAAGGCAATACATTTCCAAGTCATATTTGATACACAGCTCTGGAAAAAAAAAAAAAAGTAAGAGCCTGGTCTCTTTCATTTTTTCCAGAGTTGTATTTAGCATTTTTATAACAACTGAATAATTACTTGACTATGCTATAAAATGGCATTATGCGCCTTGAAAACACGTAATACTGCTGTAATATGTTGATTAATTTGTCAAATTAAATAAATGTAAATAAAGTATGTTTGACAAACTTCATTCTGTGACCTTTTCTTTTAAGTTCCAGCTGCATTTTCTTATTTTCAGATAGGATAAACTTTCCTTTTTCTGATGATATGAAACCTTGAATTATTTTATAATACAAATCTGATTTGAATAAATCGACATTTGTCGCACAATATGGAAAGGTTTTGGGGGTATTGTAATACTCTGCAGATGCACTTTGGTTTGTGAGGGTGTTCTCTTTCAGGACTTTAAAAGTTTAGGCTCGCAAAGGCACAGTATTCATCATTAAGATGGAAAAGAATGTCAGCTTAAACTGAAGCAAACATTTGCAGACAGCATCAGTCTGCAGGCTTTTTGTTCTGTTGACAGAGAGAGTTGGTAAGAAGACAAAGTTCTCTGATTTGGTGCCAGCAGCAGCTGAGTTCAGACAGGTGGGCAGCATGCTCACCAAAAGCACAGAGCGCATTTCAGAGAACACTAAATGTAAGGCACAACTGTTTGCCAGTGTGTTTACTTGAGGCGAAGCTGCATTTGGATAAAAACGACTTAGAAAAGGAAATGATCAAGCAGCAGGTGGATTATTCTGTGTGCGTAGGCTTGACATGTATGATTGCGTCTGTGCTTCTGTAATATCGTGGAAAAATATCAACCAGTTACCACTAAAAACTTTCTTTAAACCATTTTTTCATTCATCCATATTTTCTCTAGTTTTTCTTTTTCCTGTTTCTGTTCTCTTTATAAGCAGTTATGCAAGAAGACGGTTCTAACTACAGGGATATACTTTAGCATTAGCTTCTGCTAAACTCCATGTTGGCATAGTGCTTCAATGTTAGCTTCCACTAAACTCTATGTTGGTATAATGCTTTAGCATTAGCTTCCACTAAACTTCATGTCGGTATAATGCTTTAGCATTAGCTTCCACTAAACTCCATGTTGGTATAATGCTTTAGCTTTAGCTTCCACTAAACTTCATGTCGGTATAATGCTTTAGCATTAGCTTCCTCTGACGTTATTCCACATTATTAGCACTTGGAGGAAGCAAACATTTTTCATGGCCGGGAGCCCTCTGTATGAAGCAAAGTGTAGAAGAAGAGGCTGTTTTTACCTCTTTATGTTAAAGTCCAGGACTTCTCTTTCTCCCCTCTCCGTTGTGTCCTTCCAGGTCCTCGACGCCCCGGCAGCTATCTGCCGCTACCTCGACGACAACAGCTGCTCCGCCCTCATCATCCTGGGCTTCGTGATGATGTCGCCCCTCGTAGTTTTGGCGGCGGCGGTTTTCTGCGGGCTGCTGAGGAAGTTCCGGCTCCTTCTTTTCCTTCAGCCGCTGTCCAGGGCGCGGTACCGCGGGAGGCTGATGGACTGGGTGGGAAGAGTCCAGGCTTGGGTGTGACGGGCGAGGCTCAGGGTTGGTGTGCGCAGAGTGAGGAGTTGAATGGTAAAAAGAGTGAGAGAGGACAATAAAATATTCAATTTCCAGTGTAAACAATCCGACAGTGATTAGAATAGATTTCGGCTCTAAATAAGCAATCAGTTTGTTTTCAGCTAGTGTCAGTGGTCACATTATTTTGAATATTAGTTCTGTTTAAAAAAAATATTCTTTTATTTCTCTTTGTTTTTATTTTTCATATTATTTTGCAGTGCTTGTACATGTAGAGTAAATCTGGGGTGTTTTTAGATGTGCTTTATTATTAATTAATTTGACGCTATAACAAATGGAGACGGTGCATTAGAGCCATTGTAGATAGGAGTTAATTTCCGACCCCCACCCAACCTACAAAAAGACTGAAATTTTCTAGAAAAAAATTGGACATTTCTGAGTTTCAAAAGTCTAAACTTATCAACTTTTGAAACTCAGAATATTTCCAAAAGTTGAAAATGTTTGATTTTTGAAACGCAGAAATTCACAGCTTTTGAGATTAATCTCAAAATTTCAGTTTTTTCTTTCTTTTTCAAGCTTAGCAAAGTTCTTGTTTTTCCTAGAAATGTTTTTTTTATTAATCTAAAATTTTTAAAGTTTTTTGGTGGAAATTTATTCCTTTTTTTCCCTGTTCACAATGGCCCAAATATGCCGTCGTAGAAAAGAGCTCTATCCAAAGGTAAAGTTATAAATCCCAGTATTTAATTAAAATAACCAGTCAGTTCATCGATAACTAGCAGTAAAACTTCTGAGTGTTGATGTTTTTAACGGCTGCATGTTCGTATGTAAAACATTAAAGGAAACAACGTCGGTTCCTATTTTCCATGTGTTTAAAGCAGTCTGCCTCCTAGTAGCTTAATTTAGTCCCATTTCTACAAAAAGATCATGTAAAAAGAACTCAAAAGAAAATTCAAATATAAACCTATAAATAAATAAATCATCTGCTATATTTATTTATGAATTAAGCACAGTCCATTGTCAGTGATGCCTTGCAGTTCCTGTTGAGTCTGCAGCAACACAAACTACTTGTTAAATCATTTTGTCGTTCAAACTCAACGGTTTCCATTCCACTGATCTCCTCCCACCGTCTACAAGCCTGTTTGTTTTCTGAACTTCACATCAGATTCTCTGGTTTTTTCGATAAGTTTCAGTTTATTCAGTTCCTCTTCTTCTCTTTTCACACTTTTGACTAAAGAGACTCACATTCTCTTGCCTGGCTGCAGATTTCAGAGTTTAATTTATTTTAAATTCAAGTCCAACCTACTGTCTTCTTTTCTACATGTAGCAGAAAGAAATGTGTTTATGTTCACAGACTTCCAGGATGCTGCTGATTATTTATGGCGGGTCAGACAGCGCCTCTCGCTAACTCAGTTCTTTAGGACATATTGCTCTATTCATTCACTAGAAAACCACTTTTTCATCCTGCTGTCTGAAAAATTACATAATGAACACTGTTTATATCATTTTGTTTTAAATTAAGTGATTGTGTGATTTATTAGAAAACAGGATTGTTTCTGAGTTTACTGCAGCAGCTCCTACACAAATATTAAAATCAACAAATATTAAAATCAACATGCTTTCATGGTGTGAAGTATTTCTTTTGATTAACTTTTTTTATTGTTGCTGGGTTTTCTGAATGTCTGACAAAATACAAGCAGAATCCACTTTAAATCCCAAATGGAAAGACTGTAATTTTTGAAAATTGGTTATTTGCTTCCTTCAGCAAGCACAACAAAGTTTTATTTTACAAAATGTTGACAAAAACAACAAGTATGAGGGAGAATACGTTTTAACAACTGATGGTGGTTTTAGCTACATTCAGTAACAAATGTAAAGCTAGAAAGTAGGAAGTAAAATTTAAAGAGTCAGAGTTAATTAGTAAAGTTGCTCAGTTGTTGATGGTGTAAACTCTGAAGGTAAATGGGTGATTTCCTGGCATTTTGAAAGTTTAATTTAAAAAGGAAAACTTACAGGTCTCACCTAAACAGACAGGTAATGAAACAGGAGAATCCAGTGAAGAGCTGAAATTACAGACAAACTAATCAGAGGAGATGTGGAGCAGCTGCAGCAAGAGAAGAATTAAAGGAAAGATCAATTAATGCACAAAGAACCGGGACCCAAAGAGTCGAGAGGAGATAAGGGAAAATATCTGACAATAAAATGAAACGCAGAACACAAGAATGATTTACTAAACTTCAAGGAATGAACTAATATGGATGCAAACAAAAATAAACAGAGAAATGAACAGAATATGGAGACATAAGGAACATAAATAAAATAATGTTTTATTCACTGAATTGAAAACATGACTGAATGTGTAGATATTATGACTGAAGTCACATCCTGATGACAAAGAGAAAAATATATCAATAAGTTTTGACAAAATGTAAAATCCATCTGCTTTCAAACTGTAGGAAGGATATCCAGTCCTCATTATAAAAGCAACAGTTTGATTTTAAAAGCTGATCAGTTTTAATGAATTAAATTTTTTGTTGTTCTATTGTTGTGTGAACATTTATTTTCTTATTTTTACATCCCTGTTATCTGTGTTCCTATAAGACGTTTGAACTTCAAACTATGTTTTACATATAAACAGTTTCTCTCCTTTTATGTTCCAGCTTCAATTTAAAAGTTGATTGGTTTCCATTCAGCTCTTTTTTTTTTAAGTAATTCAATGCTTTGAATAAATGTTTATTCTAGTAATGAAAAGGCCAAAACTGTTTTATTCTGCTCTTTATTGAAACACATTATTTTATTGTTGGAAGGCTGCAGCGGCTCATTCTGGTTCTTTGCTCATGTTTCAGTTCAGGGTTGTCAATTAAAAAACAAACATATTCTGACCCTCCGTCCATCAGTAAAAACAGGAAGTTTCTCCGTCTGTCTCTGCTTTGTTGTGGCCTTTTTCAGATCAGTTTTATGATGTAGCTCGTTGATTTTTGATGTTTTTCTCAGGACAGACATGCATACAAGTGGACGGACACAGTTCATAAACAATAAATGGTTTAAAAAAAAACAATGTTAGAAAGTAACAAAACTACTTCAATCAACCAACTCCAGGAGAATCTTCTAATCAGATAAATTATTGAAGTTCAGCACTGAAAGATGCACAAACAGCAGAACGACTCAGTGTTTAAACGTCAGGACTCAAAATACATTTAACCGAGAACTGAGCCTCAATGCAGGATCCCAATTTATTTCAGTGATTTTCTCTTCAAAAAGAGCCATAAAGTCTGATGTGGCCAGTCAAGCGCTATAATGATGATCACTGCTGAGGCGTTGCGTTTCATTCACCCGGCGAATCATCTCGACTTGTCATGCAGTGGATGGATTGTCATGAAAAATCATTTTCACTTTCCCATCATTTCCAGATGCATTTTCAGCTTTGTGCTGATGAGCTGAAAAAATGAAATAAATGTCCTGATTATCAGCTATCAGCTGTGTAATGTGAGGTTATTGAGAATTGAAAGTAATATGCCTAATTTTCTTTTCTTTTTTAAGCACATTTGTTGGATTTATCTGTTTTCTCACTCTGACAACTTTTTAAAAACATTTTTACAGTGAAAATATTCCAAAAAAGATGCTAATACGAAGCGAATGTGACTGAGATGAATCTGATTTATATTAACCCTTTGCACGTGACGTCACGCTCTTCAGAAGTCGGTCTGCTTCGCTGTGATGGACGTCAAAACAACCTGTCAAAAAACACACATCTGTTAGCATAATATGGCTTTGAAATGGATTTGTTGTACGATGTTAATCAAAGCTAATGTTGCTTTATAATTTTCAGATTTAGTGATTATAATTTAATGCCTTATTGTGTCACTGTGCCATCTGTTTACACTTCAGCCTGGTAATTAGCTGCATTGATTAGTGCTTTTTATTTTTTTAATGCTTTAGGAATTTGGGAATTACTTTATCCTACCATTAGTCTGTTTTCCAAACTTGTCAAGTGAGAAACTTTGAGGTCTCCAGGTGAATTATAACACATCTTATGCTTTGTGCTGTAAACTAGATTTATTTAATGCTTCTGTTGACTACTTTAAGATAAAGTTTTATTTGAATTGGTGATATATAATTAAGTCAAAATGAATCGAATAAGATGTGAGGAGAATCTGTGATTCCTGCTGCCGCCTCTCAGAAAGAAGCTCCTGGTTTTAATTCTCATGCATAAATGTTTTATCTCAGATGTGAGGTTGTTTGACAACTATGAGTGTGCGTGTGTGTATGCGTGCGTGCGTGCGTGCGTGCGTGCGTGCGTGTGTGTGTGTGTGTGTGTTAACCTGGTGATCTGTCAGGGATGCATCCCGGCTCTCACCAGGACTGGCAGCAGCCATTTCCACTCAAACCCATTCTGAACATAAATAATAACATCATCATCAACAGCAGCAGCTTGTAGATCTTTGACTCTCATGCTGGGTCTGAGTTAATGTTCAGCGTGTGACTCCAGCCCGGTCTGGCCTGCTTCACTGAGGCTCACAGGAAAACCGAAATGGATTTTTTTGTCAAGAGGGAAATGTTGGATAATCATTTGTGGCTCTGCTGCTGCAAATGATGTTAAGTACTTGGAAATTAGGCCAGATGCAGAACATGGGAAAGAAAATCCAGAGCAGATCTGAAACAAACAACTGGTCTGAAAATACAATGTATTATTAAAAAGAACAATAGCAATCAGAAGAATGAGAATTTAACTTTACAGTGATTTAATGTTATTTTGTATAGTGACATTTATTTAAGGCTTTTATTTTACATGTTGCCATCAAACTAAGACAGCTGCAGAGCAGTGTGTGTTTGTGACTCATATTTGTTTAGTTGTAACCAAACCAGCTGCTGTAACCAAACTGTGTAATGGTTTTGGAGTTGATGGAGGACTAAATGAGGAATTTATGAAATAAAGGAAAAAACTTACAAAAATGCAGAGACAGCAACGAACCAGGATGTCTGGGAGCAGAGCCGGTTTCTGGGAAAAAGACGAACCTGCTGATAACTAAATAAAAATCATACAACTTCAGCAGAAAAAGAAGAAAAAACATAATAACTCAGAACAGAAAACCCAGACAACGCCAAATTCGAGCCATATGATCATGAAACGCTGCTTGCTGGGACACAATGAGGTCCGTATTTGTCACAGTTAGAAAATGTTGCATGAATCAGAGAATTGAATCAAGTTAACTTCAGAGCGTCACTGGGAATGAAAACAGATTTTATGTGCTTTCATGTTTTCCTCTCGCTTGCACATGTCTGGACCCACGATGGCTTAGAAAATTAACTTGAACTGATCAAAACTTCACGTCACAGACTGGATTTGCACATGATGCCTAAGCATGAAGAAACCCAGTTTTCTCTTACGTTTGAATCTCATCGACTGCTTTTCTTTGTATCGACGCTACAAATTAACTGAAGACTTAATCAGAACTCCTTTTTTGTGTTTTCTCAGAGTAGAACAGAAGCAGCATTTTATTTCTATTTAGGATTCAAAACTAAGATATTTTTAAAAGCACATAGATTCCAAACTATGACCAAGAAAACAGCTCTAAAAACATATTACTGTTACTTTTCACGTCATTCTTTGAGGAAATTCAGTGAAAAAAGACAGACATTTAAAAACGTGCATATTAATATATCTATATTTAAAAACATTAACTTGTTGGTTTTAATTGTTAATCAAAGTTATTAAGACCCAAATGTCCAAAGAGCTGCAGGCTGCAGGTTTCTGGACTAAGAGGTTATTAATGAAAGTTTTGATTTTCTTGAACTTTGGTTTGAGTTTCAAAAGCTACAGAAAATATGGAAATTTTAAAGCTTCTAGACAAAATTACAACCTCATCTCCATTGCTGTAATTTCACATCGACCTGTACTGATTTGTCTCTATTACAATAGAGGTTTTATGTTCAGATAATTACATTATTAGAGGGAAAAAACTGATTACGTATAATTTATAGCTCTGAGAGAAAAAAAAAAGTTCCACATCAATCAGTTTGGTCCGTTTCTTTCATCAGACTTCTGCAGCAAACAGAACAAAAGCCTTTCCAAAGAAAAGACGCCGCAGTTAATTGCAGGAAGAAAGAAAATTGTTCAGCTTTGTGAAATTTCTCTCAGTTCTCCGCTGCCTGATAAAAGACACTGATATATTTCCTAAACCTGCTCCAAAGAACACAGCAGACAAATTAAAAAAATTAACCGTGAGGTTTCAGGACCACTTTAATTAAATATCACAACGTTTTGTCGAAACATTTCAGGTAAGCTGTTGTTGCTTTGGTTCTGAACTGCGAATTTCAAAGAATCAATAAATAACATTTATTTTGATGCTTACAAAGATAACCGGTCATTTTTGAAAGATTTACAGGATGTCTTAAGCGTACAAACGAACACACGGCTCCAGAAACATGCAGTGAAATGTTTTCTGTAAGTGAATCACAGAAAACAATGTAAAAAAGCTGGTTGTTAAAACATTTTGTCCTGTTTTAACAAGCGATGAGTTAAAATATGTTTCTATCTTCTCTGCATGGTTCACTGTAAGACTAAAGCAGGTCAAATGATAAAATAATTTTCTTAAAATGAAAACAGCGTCTCTAATGTGAATTAGATCTAGAATAAAACCATTGAGGTTACGTTGAAATGTTTTCATTAAGATCATGTTGAATTAACATTTTACAGATTATGAAAAATCAGCCACTCTGCAGGATGGGAAGCAGTCTGCAAGTGGCAGAAATTCAAACACATTAATTAAAAAACATAATTTTGAACAATAATTAGGGCAAAGAAGAAGAAGTTCTTTTCAATCCTCTGATCAAATATAGTTTCCATTAAGACATAAATAGTGCATACCACATGCAGCTGTGTGTTAGGAACTGAAATACGTTTTTTAAATTCAGGTTTGGAAGAAACTTCAACTTCCTGTGAACCAGATGTTCATTTTAGCCCAGTTTCAAAGTCCTTACAGAGAAAAGACGTTAAAATACTTTGGTTAGTTAATACATCACTGAACGTTTTAGCACAAAACTACTTTAGAGAAACGCTGTTGCTGCTGTTGTCATAGCAACCTTCCAGACCTCTCAGGTCTTTTGGTTCTGGTTCTGCTCTGCATCCAGAACCAGAACCAAACATGGAGAAGCAGCATTCAGCTTCTACAAACTTCCAGAAAACTGCAAAACATCCGAAACACTGAGTTCTTTTAAATCAATAAAACCCACCTGTTGCTTTTGAAGCAGTAAATGAAAAATTAATCATCAGTCTGATGTGTAAAAATGATGCTTGACAATTGTTGACTGCGTCTTTTTTTACTTTGTATTTTTGTGTTTTCATGAAGCACTTTGAACTGCAGTGTTGCTGTAATGTGCCGTACAAATAACCTTAACTTGATTTCTGCAGTTTCTCTTAGTGACTCTGCTCCGGTCAAGAATCAACAAGTCTAAACTAAATTATTAAAATGATAATTTAAATGTTAAGAGAGACTGAAAGGTGTACTTACAAATAGATAAAACAAATCTAAGACATAAATTCAATTTGTTTTTAGTCACGTTTTATGGTTGTGTAACTCATGATTGAGGCCACAGCTTTTTACTGTGATTTGGTGGATCTCAAAGAGTCTCACTGCTTTATAACGTCACATTTGTAATTTGTCAGCAGGGGAGCCACAAGGTGCTTTTTTACCTCTGAAGAGAGAGAAAAATCAATTAAAGGTGCGACTCGCTGACCTCACAGCCCTTTCATGTTTGCCACAGCGTCGCTCAATCTGAACCAAACACACCTCAACCACTTCTTCATGTTCAATCAGCAGAAACCGCGTTGCTTTGAGTTTGTCGTCCGTTTGAAGGAAGACAAATAGGAAGAGAAATAGGAAGAGAAATAGGCAGCACTGGGCTGATTATCCTCCTTCCTATGCTGCCAATTATCCACCCTCATCATCTCTGTGTTAAAACAGGAGAGATCCTGGACTCACACACCGAACAGGGGATTAAATTCATAATAGCTGCACCCAGAATCACACAGAGGCTGCATGTGTTCAGAGGCTTAATGAGAGGAAACCTGCCTCACTCAGCGAGGAGGACTGAACCCACCGAGGGGAAAATTCACAGACAGACGGACACAGGAGGGCAGAGCACCAAATATATTACTCAACTAAGAGTAATGATACTTCTACATACTTTTACTCAAAAGTAAAAAGTAGCCGTCCAAGGACTTAAGTAAGAGTAAAAAACTATGTGGTAAAAAGACCACTGATCAAATCATTTAATATTTAAAAATCACAAAATCAGACAGACTAAAGTATAAAGTGGAGTGGAAAGTTTGGTATTTTAAGGACGTGTAAGTAACAAAAAATAATTAAATCAGTCAAAAGAAAATTTTTCCACATTAGTTTCTTTCAACAAAAAACTTATGAAACTTGAAGGAAATCTGCAGGTGAGTCTTTTTATGGGTTTTTTGTTTGTTTTTCATGTTTGATTTTCATTCAGTGGGTAGAGCATCCAAACGTTTCACTCAAGTAAGAATAATAAGGTATTTGGTAAAGTAGTCTACTCAAGCAGTACTGAACAACTGATCAGATTATCAGTCATTTAATATTGAAAAATTACATCAAAATTTCCACTTACGTTTATAAACGTAAGTGGAAATTTTGGTATTTTAAGGATAAAAATAACAATAATTCATATAAGTAACAAAAAATAAAATCAGGAAGAAGAAAGTGTTTCCAGATCCGTTTCTTTCCTTCAAAATTCTTATGAAACTTTAACAGAAACTGCAGGTGTGTGTCTGCGTCTGGTGAATTTTTGATCAAAACAGGTTTGTTCTTCATTTCTTGGGTAGAGAATCCAGAAATTTTACTCAAGTAAGAGTAAAGAGAGCAGCACTGTAAAAAAAATACTCCTAAAAGTAAATCTTTTCCAAAAAGTTACTCAAGTAAATGTAATCGAGTAACTATAACTAGTTACTACCTGACAAACTCATTCTTTGCTTTCCGAGCGCATCCTGATAAAACACAGGGACACGAAGGGTTAATTAGAGGCGTTGCGGCAGGCTGTCAGGAAACGACGACGCTCTCAGTGCAGGGTGGGAGCAGGAGGATGTGACGACTTTTAATTAGTGTAATTGGCCTTCGCTCCTATTGGCGTCATTCAAAAGCCAATTAACCTCAACCTCTTAAGTCATGTGGAAATCCTCCAGGGCTGAACGGGGCAAGAAGGAGGAGGCGTAAAACTCAGCGCATGAAAACAAAACTGACTCAGATCTTAAACCACCAACATAAACAGATATAATCTAATGATGAATATTAAACTATGAGATCCAAAGTAAAGTGGCACAGCCCCTGCTAAAGTATTTAAACTATTCCACAGCTGGACTGGGATAAATGTCAGCTATTTATACAGAAACAGTGACGCATCTGGTGATGCTTGTTGTTTATAACGGCATGAACAGTTTCAGAAGGTGAAGAGGCGGTATGTTGTCATTAAGCAACTACAGCTAAACTGTTTTAAAACCAAAACATCAGATGTTGACCAGAAGCAATAATTTCAATAAAATTTAATTGTTGGTGTATAAATGTTTTTTCCTCTCTGTTCCTGGATAAATTATTATCTTAGGTCTATGTTTGCTATGAACTTAAACATTAGAGATGACCTATAATGCTTCGTTAAACAGGTTCGGATGGATCTACAGGCTATAAAAAAAAACATGTTTATTACACGTTTTTCACAGAATAATTGAAATTTCAGTCTGGACAGTTCTGCCTATTTTGAAGTCCTTTCAGAATAAAATATTTTACGGCGTCTTCTCACTTTAAATCCTATTAAGCTGCTGCTGGCCACACCCCCAATCCAACATTTACACTCACATGTGAAAATTGCTACAAACAGATGTGCAATTATCCAACTGTACATCTTTGAAAATTAGAAGTGGAACCTCCTGTTCAACCAACAAGAATGCAGCAAGTGATTTCTGGATGGTAAACCAATAAAAACAACAGATGTCTTTTCCAGCAGCCATTGTACAGCGCATACAGAGGTAAAACCAGCTGACCAAATGTGCTGGAGCTCTGCTTGGGTTGCTAGGTAACGGGCTGAGCCCGGGTGGGGTTGCTAGGTAACCGGCAGTGCCTGCTGATTTGTGACTTTTTTGAAACAACTCATTTGAAACATTAACTTATTGTCAAGAAATGGCTGGTTGTTTTTATTTTTTAAGTGCTCTGGTTGTTTTTAAGAAGCCGTCGAGGCCCAAATAGAAATGTAAAAACACACAACATGTGGGTTTTGTGTGTTGTTAAATTATTAAAATGTGACAATGTGATTTAAGTGTTGGATGCTAAGCTTGTGCAGGATTAGATCTGCACATATGCAGAAGAAGTCCAACATCTGAGGTCCTGTTTATGTCAGGTTGTCTCCCACTAAGTTTTAAAAGAACAGGATTTATCAAGTAAATGTGCTTTCTTTCTTGCTGCTGCACATAATGAGCGAGACGTAACAATCGTTTATAGGTTGAAGGGACTTTGCTTTACAAAATGGCCTCCAAACACACGGAGGAGAAAATTGCCTTTGCTTTTCGTCCCTCACATTTCATCGTGAATCTGGTGGCTCAGCTCTAAACTGATTGTGTCGTTGCTCTAAGACAATAGAGGAAAGGAAAACACATTTACAGGCAGTAAAAACCCAGATATAATGATTTTTCTTCTCTCTCCCTCCCTCTCTTTTCCAGCAGCTGCTCCCTGGAGCACCCTTGTAAAAACAACCAGTCCTGTGTGTCATTGCTCTCTGACTCCATTTTCTACTTTTACTCTTGTGCCCTTACTTACCCACAACAGAAAATTGCAGGCTTTTTTCTACTTGTCTTTGTACTGTGTGTCCTTCTACAGCCGCCTGTCCCTCTCATGCTTCTTGCTCTCATTATCTTGTTTCTTCTTGTCAAAAACGAAAGGGACAACTTCTTTACAAACTCTAAAGTTTTCCAGATATTTGTTTTCTCCTTCTTTTATCTGTTTGCCAAATATTGCAGATTTTTGACATCTGATGAAGATTCAGTTGCTCATTTTGCTGCCAAAAGATGTTCCACAGATAAATTACCTTCCAATAGAGACTGAATGATTATAATTAAAAGCACTGCTGGGTAATTTAGTGAAGAAGAAGACGACGACGACGACGACGACGACGACGAAGAAGAAGAAGAAGAAGAATATAGATCAGACAGAGCAATAGTTGTGATCAGTTCAACTGTATTTCTTTTGTTAGGTCAGAGTCTCTTTACTGTGAAATTCTTTTACAACACAAATAGACTCCCTGATGAAAGCAACTCCATCTCAAACAAATGTGTTTCCAGACTGTTTCCTTCTTCTTCACTGACTGACTCTGTGTGTTTTAATGCTGTCAAGTTATTTGCAAATTCAAGCAGGACTATCAGGGGTTTTTCTGCATCTGTAGGGTCCAAATAACACACCTGTCAATCATTCTAGGGTTTATCAGCAACTGCAGTGGTCGCCATTTGTCCTTAAGGCCACGCCCCTTATCTGGAGGAACTGAACCTCCGTCAACATTGCTGGGGTTTATTACTGCTATGCTAACATGCAGCAGCCATACAGAGTTTGAGGAAAATAATAGGAAATTATGGTCCAGTGTCGTCAGTGGGGAACATGCAATCCTGACAGTCGTTACCCAGAACGTGTAAACGGCAGAATACAATTTATTGCATTTCCTAAACCCAAACGGAGTCTGGAATAACGCAAGAAATGGATCAAGGCCTGCAGTCGACCTCAAGTGCAGTTGAATGAAGCTGTGATTGATGGCAGCTACCACATGTTGTTCATCTGCACCAAGGTAACTGATAGTAAACATCCCATTATTTGTCATAACACTCATTGATAGTCAAATCAAAGATCAATAAGTGAAGGTAGTCATGCTTGATTTTATGTATATAAATTCCAATGATATCTCTATGGCAGCATGAAAACATGTGCTGCAGTAACCGCGGTATTTACATTTAAGCAACAAAGAATAGGATTAAAAAAGTGTTAAGAAAACCACATCAACACTCCCAACTCTGGTCCTAAAGCTCGATGTCCTTCATATGCGCCTCTTCTCCAGCACAGCTGATTGAAATGATCGTTACCTCCTCTGCAGGCCATCAAGTGCTGCAGAAGCCTGTTAATCCCTTCATTCATGTCTGCAGCAGCAGGGAAGCACCTAAAAGAGTGTTTCTCAACCCTGGTCCTCAGCGCCCCCCTGCTCTGCATGTTTTAGATGTGCCTCTATTTCAGACCAGCAGATTCAAATGATTGCATGACCTTCAAGTGCTGCAGAAGCCTGTTAATCACCCAGAGATGCAATTCAGCTGTGTGGCAGAAGGGAAACACCTAAAACAAGCAGGACAGGGGGGCGGTGAGGACCAGGATTGAGAAACACTGAACTAAAACCTGCAGGACAGTGAGGGCCATGAGGGCCAGTGTTGGAGAAAACTACAATAACACATTAAAATCTCTCTCATTGGTTCACTTACCTGTTGTGTTTTTTATCAGAACACCCAGAAAGTGTTTAAAGGACAAATTTTATTACAAACAAACAATAAAAAAAAAACACATGACCACCGCTGACTGACACTTGCAGCTATTATTGGAGCTAAAAGTGGTTTTATAAAAACATCAACACAACGAGGCTGAATACAAACACACAGTAGAGTTTTAACATTTTTATTTGCAAAATAATCGAGAAACATGTTTCATTCTTCTTTCACTTTACTAGTGAACAAAAACTCAATAAAATACATAAAATCGAGTATATGTGATAAAATATGTAAATAAACCAGAGGAACTATTTATCTGGTGAGTTTGTTGGTGTTACATAGAATATCTGTCTTTTACATTTAACCTTATAGTTTCTTTAAATCATGTTTTATAAAATCTAAACCTTTAAAATGAGTTGCCTTCTTCTGTTTTCCAGAGTGCTTCTGGTATTGTGTCATTCTCAAACTGCCTCTCATTACCCCCGGCCTGAAAAGGTTCCTGCTGCCTGACACCATCTTCCTCTTCTCCACCTTCTCTCTCATTACCTTCATCACTGCTCCTCCTCATCCTAGCTTCAGAAAATTAAAATCCATTTCTAGTGCTGCGCTGCCGGCTCATTACGAGCCTGTTTCCCATCTGCTATGTTGCTGCAAAGCAAGAAAGAAAAAAGAAAAAGAGAATCAGCTCAGGCTTTTCATGGACACTAATTTCGTCCTCTGTGAGAAAGCTGCAGCCTCGGGACAAATCAGGCTGGTCGCAGAGGTGGGAAACATTTCTGCTAGACAAAAGACAAAAAACAAAACTGTGCACTGAAAAAACACAAAATATTACTGATCTCGTTTCTAGAGCAAGTATCTTAGTAAACTTAAAATAAGACAAAATTAACCTACAGGTAACTTTTCAGCAAAATATAGGAGCTTGTTTTAAGTCAATAATTTCTTCATATTAACTTTGAAAAGTACTTGTTCCTCTAATTTCACATAAAAAGACATTTTCTCTTGTTATAAGAGAAATAATCTGCCAGTGGAATTCAATATTAATAAATCATTGACTTATATCATGATGGAAAGTTTTATTATTTGAAGTGTACTAAATATTTGTACACTTGTGATAAGATTTTGTGTTTTTACATGCCTTCATGTGTCATATTTGATTTTTACTTTTTGTTATTATGCAGCGACTTTATATCTTGCAGCCAAATTATATTTTTACAACTTGTATTTTGGTATATGTAACTCATAGATGCCAGAGGATACTTGAATTTTCCACAGGATGAATAAAGTCTTTTAGTATTTTAGTTGCATAAATCATGTATAAGAATGAAATGTGTGAATATTTCTTCTTATAAACAACTTAAATAATTCTTATATCCCACTCTGGAGTATTTTGTCCCCTCTAAGGTATTTTATTACTTTATGCAGCTTGCTTGTTTTTGTGCTGCTGTAATAACTGAATTCTCCTCCTGGGCTCAGTTAAGAGAACATATTTTCTTATCTAATGGTTCTTCAGACAACTGAACCATTTGGACTCTAGTAATGAACCTGAGTATTGATAACTGCAGAAATCATGAGGCTCAGTGATTAGCATGTTGTTTGGCTGAGGAAGAATAGATTAAGACTGACTGAGTCATGATTTTAATTTGGAGTAATGTCAGGAAAAGGTTAAAGATGTGAGTAAAGCTGCTCAAAAACTGGTATTTAGAAAGTCTGTCTGTTTCTTGAATTATTGAATCCAATTTAATCTAATCAGTAAATATTGGTATCGGGTCATAATAGAGTATCACTCGTTGTGGGGAATAAAATGTTGTTGCGCTGCAAAAACTCAAAATATTAACAAGTATAGTTAGTTTCTGCTTCAAATATCTTCAGCTAGTCACGTTTCAGCAAATCATAGGAGCTCATTTTAAGTTAATAATTCCTTAATATTAATTAAAAAGTAATAAATATTAAGACTTTTTAAACTCTTATTTCTTGCTGAAATGATAATTGAAAGTTAGTTTTGTATTATTTCAAATGTACTAAGACCAGAAACTAGACAAAAATACTTGGTAGTATTTTGTGTTTTGCAGTGTGCAGGCTGCTTTGTTTCCACACTTTTACAATCTAAAGCAGGGGTGCCCAAGTCCAGTCCTCGAGAGCTACCATCCTGCAAGTTTTAGAAGTATCCTTACTCCAACAGACCGGGATCAGCTCTACAGAGGCCTGATAACGAGCCATTCATTTGATTCAGGTGTGTTGAAGCAGGGATGCATCTGAAAGTTGCAGGATGGTAGCTCTCGAGGACTGGACTTGGGCACCCCTGATCTAAAGCATTAAACTATTTTAAAATCTACCTTATATTCAGCTGAAGCCTGTAGTGAGTTTGCTGGTTTAGGTAGTTTTATAAATGACTATATTGTTGCTGCTTGCACAGAATAACTGATGTGTTCAACATAACTGAGACTTTATTACCCAATTATATAAAATCATAAACTGGTTGGATTTCAAACAGGCTGCAAAATAAGAACAGATTATTGATTTGAGTACAGAACATTCAATAGAAACCAATTTATAATAATAATAACATTATTATTAATACATTTTGTTTTCAAACAAGGACCTTCAAATACAGATTTAAACAAGATTAGAACAAAACATCAAGAAGTTTTAAAACGCGTCCGAGTTAAATTAGGCCTAGTTGCACATTTCAACCACTAGATGGCAGTATGTGCTTCCAGGATGATCCTTTAAACGTGTTGAAGACGCACCGGCAGGTCTAAGCGCCTCCATGTTGGACGGTTTTTGTGACGGCGCTCTGGAGAAGCTGAAGCTTTTCAGATCGTCCTGCTGACAGAGCAGCTCTTTGTTTAGACTCACATCAGGGCATGTTTGCACATTCCTGCTCTCAAAGCAGAAGAGATCTGCTGCAGACAGATATTACACGCCCCGAAGATCCTGACACTTTAATATGTGTCCTTTTTTTTGCCTCTCACAATCACATAATCACAGATTATTTCACTTATAAATAATTTTAAATCAATGATAAGGAATTATTTACTTAAGCTACTATATTGCACTGAAAAGTTACTTGTAAGCTAGTTTTGTTTTATTTCAAGTGTACTCATTTGCACTAGAAAGCAGACAAAATACTTGGAAAGATTTTGTGTTTTTGCAGTGCAGGCAGTAATGCATAATAAGTCTTTTTATATCTTTTTATATCTTTAAAAGCTTTTAATGTAATTTTCTTTCTGCTGAGCCTGTTGGGCCATTTCAGGTGAATATATTGACTTCCGGACTATGAAAAGTGCTCTGTAAATAAAGTCTGAAGCTACATTAAGCCAAAATATAAAAAAATATATATATTGAAATTATATTTATGTGCGTCTGATTACATCATTTTTACAAATTAAAACACATGTTCAGATCGCACAGTATAGCTTTTTTATCAAATACTTTTTAAATGTTTTGAGTAAAGACATATTAAAGTAAGGCTTCTCTTACTTGATTATAATCTTTGGCTACGCTAACCACGTCTCTCTGCATCTGAATCTCTTCATTTAGAAAAACTGTTTGTATTAGAGGCCATTAAATGTGAACACATCTTGCATTGCTTTGATTCTCTGGTTGCAGCAACGTCTGCATGGTCAATGCATTGACTTCAGGTTTCTCTCTGTAAACGATTGAAGGCACTCAGATAATCATTAACTATCAGATTTTCTGCATTATTAAAGCTTTGATTAAAAGAGAATCAACTGGAGAAAGAACTGAACCCACAGTTTCAGTGAAACATTTGAGACAAAGTTTTTTCTAAGTCATTATGTTGTTGGCGGGGAGCGTTATTGATCTGGTTACATCAGTATGGGGCCAGAAAACTGAGAAAACAGCCATCCTCAGTGTTTGAGTGTTTGCTGCCTGAGATGTTGATCATTCAGGAGAACGCTCTGTGTTCATTTGGGTTTTACCTGCTTCTGCAGCACGTCTGTCACCAGCCCAGCATGCGATTTCTGCTCCTGTTTGTCTTTGCTTCAATGGGAATGAGCCTGAAAATGTCATATTAAGCAGGAGGTTTGATCTCATTTGTACATTTCATCTTACAACTACATCTGGATTTACTGCATATTATTTTCTTATTTTGTTCATCATTGTTCCCTAAGAAACCACTGAGGTCTTCACAGAACAGATGGATTTTAAATTGGGCTTTTTTTTTAGCTTTATATTGTGTTATAATGTTATTCCCTCGTCAAAAACATACCTGGAGTGTTGCCTTGATTCATTCATCCATGTTAGATAGATCCTTTGATGTCCATGGCAACCAATCAGCTGTGCAAAATACCTGGTAGGACCAAGCGCCGCCTTCAGGACGCAGCTCCTCCAGAGCTTCTGAGGTTCTGCCTCACAGAGCCGCCCACTCCGCTCCTTCAGACTAGCCAGCAACAATTAGCAGACATCTGGTGGAACTGTGAATCTGCTGAGCTCGCTATGAAGCTACTTCTTAATGCAACACTGGTAAAAATGTTGTTAAAGGGTTAATAGAGGAATGTCGTTGTGATGACATGATGAAGGTCAAGTGTTGGAAAGAGCAGGAGCTTCTTAAAGAAACAGTGGCCCAATTTCAATATGCTAAACTACTAGGTCAATTTTCTTGTAAGTTATGTTTGACATATAGACTACAGCTCTGGAAAAACATTGAGAGACCACTTAAAATGATCAGTTTCTCTGATTTTACTTCTTATAGGTTTATATTTGAGTAAAATGAACATTGTCTTTATATTCTATGAACTACTGACATGTCTCTGAAATTACAAGCAAAAATTTAATATTTATTTACAGAAAATGAGAAATGGTCAAAATAACGAAAAAGATGCAGTGCTTTCAGACCTCAAGTAATGCAAAGAAAACAAGTTCACATTCATTTAGGAACAACAAAACTGATGTTCAGAAATCAGTATTTGGTGGAAGAACCAGGAGGTTTTCAATGGGGTTCAGTGCAGTGGACTCTTAGTTGTATATAATATTTCTGTATAACAACTCAAGGTAATATAGTTACTTCATCGTGCTATAAAATGTCGCTACATAGCTGGAAAATACACAATACGATCCCTTTAAAACACACATTTGATTCCTGATGGCAACCAGTTGCACTGAATTTCATTTAGGAGTGTCAGAGTACAGGGGTGTGAATACTGCTGTACATGTATCACTTTCTTGTGAATTGATAATTTTGCTGCTTTGTGTTGCTCTATCACATAAAAACATAATAAATAAAAACAGATGTGAAGAGCAGAATCAAAGTGTGGTGCTGTTGTTTCAGGCTTTGGTTTTGCGGTTCTGGTTTTTGCTCTGCAGCTGTTGTCTTGTTAATCAGAGCTGATTGGATCCATCCTGGGTCTCTGGTGTGGCCTGGCGCTGATTGGACCATGACGGATAGAAACTGCAGACAGCAGGACCGGGTTGGGACGCAGTGGGCGGCATAACAGAGAGCGCCATGCCGTCCATTGTGAGGGAACAAAAGAAATGCTAAAAGGTTTACAGCAATCAATGTTACAAACACTGCAAGGTACAATAAAAGCATGTGTGTTATTCTATCAATCAATTAATCAATCAATCAAATTTTATTTGTATAGCACATTTCAGCAGCAAGGCATTTCAAGGTGCTTTACATAATTAAAGGAAAAAAGGCTTCATCTTGGGCTACCAGGCTTTAAACCTGTGGGAAATAAAGGGAGAGCTCTGTGAAAAAACTGATATTTTCTCATTTATTATTAAATAAGTGTTAATTTCCACTGTCACTCTACAGCATCTCCATCACAAATGTTCCCAAAAACTTGTCAGTATTACGCTAAAGTCGAAAAAACACAACTTTGTTGTTTCCATTAAACAAGAAAGGCATTTAAAATCACTGGAATAAGTTTGTTTATATGATAAGTCATTAACAAACACGCTGTGCCATCATAAAACTACTTCCTGTCGTCGTCTTCGTGGTTTGGAAACATTAAAAATGGCTGTGTGGTTTGGTATATTACTATGTTGACTTTATAAAGTTGTAATTTTTATGAACCACAGTTTACTTATTCCTGCATGAATACTATCAGCTCTAAATTACTAAGTAGAATTTAATTATATTTTATCAGCCAATCACTAATATTGAATAATCGATAAGCTCTACCCATTAAGAACTACCAGGTTTTAATAGATTTAAACATAATTAAATCAACAGTTTCTACTTAGATTTTAAGTTTTTATGATATATTCAATTACAATAATTATTGGTTTGTTGCCAAATTTAAAAATAAATAATTGTCACACTTTTGAGTGTAAAACCTAAGAATATTCTAATTCTACATATCATAGGGACATAAAACTATAAGATTTATTTTTATTTTTTTAAGTTTATTCAGATTTTGAAGCTCTGGATAAATTAGTTAGAGAGGCAGAAATGTTTTCTTTTTGTTGTTTTTTTGTCTGCATGTTGCTCATCTTCTAAAAGCAACAAGTTTATGGGTCTGGCAGGACTTCATAAACCCTTTTCATGTCTAGACCCACTTAAAGCAAGTTTTTATTCAGTCCAACTTCATTGGCAAGATAACAAAGCGTGTGGCAGCAACTTGAACCTCAGCTGAAGGAATATATTTGATTAACTTTCAGGGACTCAGTGGTTTTGGTGACTGACGGCCAAGAGGAGCAGATATGAACTAGGCCAGAGTGTCCAGCTTCAGATTTAAACGACTTCAGACGACTGAATCACTTCCTCGTGTTCAGGTCTGCTGATGAACGATTCATTTGATTCAGGTGAGCTGACGATGGGCCACATCTGAAATGATTTTGGAGAGAGGTTTTTTTTTTTTTTTTTTTTTACCTCTTATAAGCTGTGAACATTTTGTTGTTTATGTTATTTTTACCTTGTCTTCAGGGATTTTCCTCCTGGACGTAGTTCAACCTCATCACTCAGTCGTAGAAGAAGAAGTTTGTATCCATCAGTAGACGATGAATTTCCCTCCATCAGGTTTCTGCATCCTGACATCCATCTTACTCTACAGATTTCTGGGTTTTGAAGTCCTATTAATGCCCTGCTAAATAATGTATTTTGATGCAAGACGATTTTAATCTTTTAGGTTAAAGATATAAATGTTTTGAGTAATATATTAAGTAATTCTGAATGTCATTTTAACCTAAACATGCATTAGATAAATATTCAGAACAATGCAGAGTATGGTGTTGACTTAATATTTGAAGCTATATGATTTTACATTTCCAGATGTTTTTTATTCTACACCTTTCTGCCTAATGCTGAGCGTGTCTTAACACTAATTCCTTGTTTCCACATCTGCAAGCGTGTTGTGATTTGCATGATTAGGGCATGCACATGTTCTTTTCACACAATAAATGAAGTTAAATGAAGGTTTCCATGTGCACACATAACGTCAGCTAAATTGTTGCTGGTATTCATCAAGCTCAGATATCTGCCGTCTCCCACTCCTTTACTCTTAGCTGTCCCTCATGTTTGATAAATAAGGTTGAATTTTTCTCCTGTTCAGCGTTAAATATTTAAATATTTTTGCTTCAAACAGATGAGTCACACAGATTTAATGAACAAGTGAATGTAGAAACAATGAAGTGGCCCTAAACTCTTTTTAAAGATAAGGCTGTACTGTTTTGCTCTGCAGGTTTGATTAAACGGTTTCATGTCATATGAAATTAAAGTACACATGATATTGTAGCATTGTTTATGACTATATATCTCTATAATATAAGGAAATGCTTGCCTAAAATAAAAGATAAACAAAGGACAGAGGCTTCAGAGGAAGACGGTTTGTTTTCAGGTATGAAATGGAAGCAGGAAGGGACACGGCGATGAAGTGAGGGTTCATTTTGGTTACAGGGCAAACGGACCTGAGCAAAAAGATAAACATGAAAACAAACTGGCTTCCTACTTGTTTCCTAATTGGATTTTAAATTATTAATCTTATTTAACTGATTATTTTAACACAGCAGAAAGAAGAGTTTTATATATATACATATATATGTGTGTCTGTGTGTATATATATAAAGGGAGAGAGACATAAAGTTGAGCTTTTCTTCTATGTTTCGCAGTTCCAATTGGCTACTTCAGTCGTGTTTAATCTATTAAGCAAAATTCACATTTTGCACACATTTTTGTACCTCCATTTTAGTCTCTACTGCTTCTGAAAACCTACAGAGAGCTTACAGGTAACTACCCAGCTGTTTTTGGCAGTAAGCTGTTTTCTTGTGCCTGGAAAAGTAGCCATTTCAAAAATAATCAACATTCCGTCGTTACCTAGCAACCCTAGCCGGGGCCAGTGTGTCACCTAGCAACCTGAGCTGAGCTCCAGGATGTTTGGTCAGCAGCCTATTAGGATTTAAAGTGACAAGAGAGCCTAAAAGGAGCTCAAAATATGCAGAACTGAGCAGATTAAACTCATCATCTAAGAATGATTTATTCCAAAAAAAAGTAATGAACATGTTTACTGTAGCCCATAGACTCATTTTAAACTGTTCAGGGTTAAAATGAGTCTGCTGTAAAGCTGCATTCAGTGAAAGAGGACAAATAGAGAGCGTTTCTAGAAGGATCAGCCTATTCCTGCTGCTGGTCATGCTGGTGTGACCCACAGATCAAGATGGTTGGTTGGTTGGTTTGCTTGTTCATCAGAGAGCAGATGAAAGTCAGACTGATGAAGAGGAGACGGAAAGGTGAAGATGTACATGGTGACAGATGCAGTGAGAAGAGTCACAGGTCAAATGACAAGAAAAGAGGAACAGTAATAAGAAAACACAGCAGGAAGCTGATAGCTGTCGTCTTTTCACCATCATCCACTTCAGGCTGAACAAAAAGGTTTGGACAAAATGGCTTCTTTAATCCTCCTCATCAAATAGAAAAACACACAAGTTCTTATTTTTTGTACATTTAAGTCATTGATAAATTAAAAGCTTTTCACGTAAAAATATAATGAATAACTTTTCCACATGTAATGATGAGATAACCTGTGTAATTATGCTGGAAAAATATGTTAGAATAAAGCTACCTGGTTAAAATAATAAAAAAATAACAACATTGTTTTGAAGCATGTTTGGAGTCAATTTCTGAACATGAACAAGAAGGAAATAATCAAAAAATGAATCAAAATTAACAATTATGCTTCATTAAAAAAAATCTTAACCAAATAAATACAAGACACTTTTATGAGGTTAGCCTGTAGATCTAAGTGAAAACAGAAACATGGAGTGATGGAATAGTAATCTTGAAAAAAATATAATCTAGATCACGTTTATTTAAATTAATCAACTAAATAAATGAGGCCACTGAATGACAAGCAGTGGCATCTCAATGCTGATTAGCTGAGATTAAATCTGATTAATTGATTGGTTTCTGCTCAAACTGGACCTTTTCCTCTTTGCCAGCTCTTACACATTGACTTAAAGAAAGCATCTCTGAAGCCTTTTCCCACCTGGAGCTGAAGAAAGTGTAATTTAGTAGCATCATATTGATCTTTTTTGTTGTTTTATGGGTAAATTTGAGGTTTTTCTTCACAGCCTTTCCTCACATCATTGATATGTGTCAGAGTATCTGTGCGATATGAGATTTAAAAACGCTCAACCTGCTTATCTACATCTGCAGGTAGCTAATGGACTTCCCCTCTGTGATCAGTCAGCTGGGGATTGAAAAAGTGTTGATTATAAACACAGCAAAGAGTGAGACAGTCATTACCAAGCGCTCTGTGAACCTCAGACACTTTCGTCTTTCAGGCGTTGGGCTGAAATTCAGAGGCAGTCCACTAAAAAACTGATGATGCCTGAAGGAACATCTGACCGTTTCACATCATTTAGTTTATGTGTTTTCACATTAGCATCCAAAATACTTTAAATTTGAGCCACATTTTCTCGCAGTTAAAGGCTAATGAATTTTTTGTCGTTCAGGTAGAAAGTCATTTCTTAAGACGACAGCTGTTGAGGGACTCTTTCTCCATCAAAATACGGTTACAGATGATGTTGATTTGTGTTCATATAAGACAGAAATTAGATTAAAGTTTTATGGTACAACAGATTTTCTGTAAAAGGAAAAGCACACATCAATCTGGGTATTTATGACCCATCAGAGCCCAACAAGAATCCAACCAGTGGTTTCTGGATGTAAGTCAACAACAAAGCAATTGTCTTTTCCATCAGCCATTATACTGCAGTAAAACCAGCTGACCAAACATGGTTGAAGAAACTTGCTTTGCTAGGTAACGGAGCACTGTGACAATCGGGAGGTTTTTGAAACGACTTGTTTTCCACACACCAAAAAAACATTAACTTCTTGCCAAAAATGTCTGGGTGTTTCTTTTTCTTATATTTTTAGCGTTTTAGAAGCAGTTGAGACCCAAAGACACCCAAAAAGAAATAAAAGCATGCAAAATGTTAATTTTCCATAATAGCCCCCTTTAGACACAATTTAAATAGCAAGATAACAATGTCGAAACACAAAAGAAAAGCTCAACTTAAGGTAAAAAAGAAAAAGAAACAAAAAAAGGAAAGTTATTTTAATCTTGAGAAATTTTTAAAAAGATCAGTTGAATAAGATGGGCTTCACTGGGGTTGCTAGGTAACCGGCTGGGCTTCACTGGAGTTGCTAGGTAACCGGCTGGGCTTCACTGGGGTTGCTAGGATCAGTGCTTACTGATTAGTAACATTATATTTGGAAGGTTTTTAAAACAACTGATTTTCCTGATACAAAAATATTAAGGCCCTGTTTACACGACAACAGTTTTGGGTGAAAACGGAAGAGTTTTGTTGCATTTCTGACAACGGCACAGATTGAAAACGGGTTCCAGAGTGCGATGTTTCTGAAACGTACCGGTGTCCGTTGTCTTGTAAACAGGGTAAATGGATCTATTGTGTCAGAGAATCCCTAGCTCATGATGCAAAGCATAGCTGCTTCCTACAATCTACAGAAGAAGAAGAAACTACTGACAATGCTGGTGTTACTACATTTCGTGTTTCCCATCAGATACGGTTCCCTCAGCGTCTCTTCACCGCTCCGCACCGCCCAGGTGGCAAAATACACGGCTGCTTGTTCAGCAATCATAACAAGAACTTGCTTGTTAAGCGCTCTTATCCAGAGAACTACGGACACCGTGAAAGCTCAAACAACGTGTTTCAGCAAAGTTATCCCACTTTTTTCCGACTGCGCCCTAATCAGACGCACATGGTGCGTGTTTTCCCCCAATATCTGGGAGAACGGTACATGATGGGGAAACGCGAATCGACGTGCTTTCAAGTAGAACTTCTTTAAAAAAAACAAAAAAAAAAAAAAACACATGCGCACTTAGTTTAAAAAAACCTAGCTCCAACTAGTGGCATGTCACACATTTTCGATGTGTAACGTTACTGTGTAAACAAAGATTGTAATTAGAACGTCTTCATGTAAATGATCCAACAAAAACAGAATAAAAATTCCATTTTCGTTGGATCATTGTCGTGCAAACAGGGCCTAACTTACTGCCAAAAGAACCACAGTGTGTTTTGATTTTAAGGAGTTGAGCTATTTTTAGAAGCGTTGAGTCCTAAATGGAAGTTAAAAAAATAGGAAAATATGTACTTTCCATAATAAATCCCCTTTAAAAGTACATCCAAAACCATCCATGTGTTAAAGCTCATAAAAACATGTGCATGTTGTGTAAATGTGCATGTTTGTCTGTAAACTGAAATTCTCCTGCATAGGGACATTCCAGGCCTCCTGCTCTCACAGCTCTGGAGATGCTGCAGGTCCGGACACGCACCAGATGCCGGATGAGAACAGAGGATGAATGTTGCTGTCCTGACTAATTTCCTTTCTAATCTCGACTTGTAATGATTCCTATCGATCCCTTAAGTTAAACTTTAAGAACTGAGCGTCATAAGAGCAGCTCAGATGAGCTGCATATTGTCAAAGTTCCTGGTGAGATCCTTACATTTAAAACAGGTGCAGCAAGAGAAAGATGGCAGCACATTCATCTAAAGTAAATAAGTTGACGCAATCATCAACACTTTGCTAATAAAACGGATGTTTAACAACATTTTTGTCCACAACAACACAGTGATTTCTTTATGAAGAGGCAGGAGTGTTGGGACCGAATCACACTTGACTTTTTACTCACAGTTGACCTTCATGAAGCTGCTTGAACTCACTTATCTCTCACATACAAACAAACCTTTTAAAGTTTTCTGCAGAGCCATAAAAAACTGTAATTTCTGGTGAGGAAATTACTCCCATTTATTGGTGAGTAAAGTGGCTAAAATTACACTCGAGCCTATCACTTCAGATGCAAATAACTGTTTAAGGGTTTCTGTTGACATTTTGTTTGGCGTGAGAGTGAACGCCATGCTAAGACACCTGTATGAGCTATTCAGAAAGACGATTGAATCTTTAAATTAGTCTGGGGAGGAATTAAAAAAATATATAGTTTAAAAGAAGAGAACAATTAAAACAACAATCAACATGTCCAAGACTGGCTAATGTTTGCACAGCTGAAGGAAATCATTTGTGAGTTTAAATGCAGTTTTCAGTAAATTTTCTGCTTTATGTTTTGTTTCTTGGACTCTATTTCTTCATTTCGTGCTGCCTGGTTTTGATCCACCAAGTGAAAATCTTTGTTAGTTTCCTCAGTCTTAAGATTTTTACCTGCTTAATGCTTGCTGGGTTTTGGTGCTGGTGTCAATGTATCACAGCGACAAGCAG